TGAAGCATGGGGGTGGAAACATCATGCTTTGGGGGTGCTTTTCTGCAAAGGGGACAGGACGACTGCACCGCATTGAGGAGAGGATGGATGGAGCCATGTATCGCGAGATTTTGGGCAACAACCTCCTTCCCTCAGTAAGAGCATTGAAGATGGGTCGTGGCTGGGTCTTCCAGCATGACAATGACCCCAAACACACAGCCAGGGCAATCAAGGAGTGGCACCGTAAGAAGCATTTCAAGGTCCTGGAGTGGCCTAGCCAGTCTCCAGACCTCAACCCAATAGAGAATATTTGGATTAGGTTTTGGTACCAAATATTAAGTTCTATTTTTCTATTGTATCAAATACTTATTTCATGCAATAAAATGGAAATAAATTATTTAAAAATCTAACTGTGATTTTCTGGAATTTTTTTTTTTTTTTTGTAGATTCTGTCTCACAGTTGAGGTGTACCTACGATGAAAATTACAGATCTGTTCATTCTTTGTAAGTGGGAAAACTTGAAAAATCGGCAGTGTATCAAATACTTATTTGCCCCACTGTATTTAACCTCAGTGAGGTTTTCATAGTAAAATACAGATTAAAAACATAAAAACAACAACTTTTGAAAATGTAGTTCACTTTTTCTTCCTTTTAACTGTGGTTCAGTCCAGCATCTCCTGAGAACCACGCCTGGATTTTTAGATTGTAGAGCAGCAGCTAATTTACCAAGACTCTCTATTTGTTGCTTTACAATTACAGAACAGTGTGTGTGTGTGTGTGTGTGTGGGTTGATAAGAATAAGGACACTTTTTGATGTCAATATCGAAAGAATTGGAGATGGGTTTAAACTGATCTCTACATTTGTAATTACATTGAGTATTTACTGTGTGTTTACAGCTCTGGATTCAATTATTTAATGCTGTAGCCTGAATCACATTTCTTATTTTGAAATTTTTTTACTCAGATACCAAGTGAGAAATAAAAGTACCACCCTGGGACTTGGGGTCAAGGAACCATGTTGTTCCCCCTGTTGTGTGGGTGCCAACAGTAGCAGCAAAAAAATGAAGGCTCTTTGTTTAACACACTTGCTTTCCTTGTCTGCTCTTTTCCTCAGGTCAAGCAAAACAATGAATCTCTGCTCCAAATGTTTTGCAGGTAAGTTCTTGTTCTGCTTTGTCTGATCTTGTGCCTGACTGTGTGCGAGTCTGGCTTTAAAAGCTGTTTAAAGCAATCTAGCTGTTCTGCAAGGGCAGACAGTGAGATAAGGTGCAAACACATTCAATGACTTTTGCACCGATTATGAATGGGATTTGGGTGTGACCACCAAGTCTGTTCCAGTTGGACCGAGTCTGGCTAGTTGTTGTTGACGGTTGGCAGATAAAATCATGGGGTGTATGGCATGTAAAGATTCTAATCTGTAGATCAAGTTGCTGTTGGTTGTTCTCATAAAAATTTTTTTAAACATGTTTAATACTTGCAGCTGATGTTGGTGTTTCCTGAGAGAGGTGTACTGGTAAACAAACACAAGATAAAGATTCAAGAATGGGCAATAAAATACACTGTAGAGTCCACCAGACAACTGAAGTGGAGAATGAACACCTGTACATCATTAAATCAAAGATATGCATCACTGACACGTCAGTTCCCACGCCTCTCCATCCAGAATCTCACCCAAACTTTGTGACTTTTTCCTTTTGTTTTGTAATTTTCAGTGCATATTGAGCTGTAACCAATGGAGAGATCTTAACAGTACAAGCCAGTTGCCTGTATATTTGTTTTGGTACGAGGACACGTGATAACTGACTTGTGGGATCTACAGGTTCATGGAGGTACAGTTGTTAAGTGTGTTGTCCAGAGTGTTTAGTCAGTCACAAGGTGTGTGCTGCTTCCCAGCTGTCAAGGAATAAAAATGTGGCCTGTTTCTGTTTGTCTTGTTGTTTCAGCCAGTCATCAAGTATGTTCCCACGTTTAAAGTGGAGAAAGAAGTCTGATAAAGAAACTTGTGTGTAAAGCAGAGTGTTATTCTCACTCACCCATAATTCTGTTTACTGTACAGGTACATTTTAGTTGGTACTGTATGTGCTGATGTTTCAGTACTAGTTAAAAACTTTAAGGTGGAACTTTTGCCCAAGTCTTATCAGAATATTTTGTCCCTTCTTACTCAGGCTTTAGTTCATCCTCTGACAAAATCTGTGCCAGAGCTGAGAGTAGAAAACTATGTCTGTTTTACATAAGATTTCAACAGAACTGTGTCAGTGTTGTGCCACAGTTTCTGTGCGGTTGAGCATTATCCAAACGCCCATGCCACACCTATTTGTACTGCTGCCCAAGTTAACACCCACTCCATACTCAGAAGCTGATAGAAGCATTCATGCACACACACGTCTTACCTCTGAACTTTTTCCACAGACATCCAGAAGAAACAGCCAGATGATGGTTGTGCTCCCAAGGCCTCTTCAAGCTCCAGCAACAGCCAAGAAAACATCTTCTGTAATGAAACAAACAGCAGCATTAGTCAGTCCCTGATGTCGACGCCTAACGCTTCAGAAGGCCCATCGCCAGGAGAGGTGGGCATGCCATCTCTACCTCCTCAGGACGGTAAGACAGCAGTTAATCAGTGAGAAATAAATGTTATCTTTTCAGCTCGGATGGTGTGGAGCCAGGCCCTCTTATTTCAGAGACCTGCCTTGGGCCATAGTTAATTGAAAGATAAATTTGTGCTCACCATATCTTTGAACCTGGATAGTGGAGCACTCCCACTCTGAAAGGCCAGAAGTGCTTAAAGTGTAGAACTTAAACGCTATGTAATATGGTTTGTTTGATTTGTAACGCTTGCCCTACTTGATGAAGTGATGTATGCATAATGGGCTGCAAATTTCAAAGTGCGTTAAAAGTGCACAAGTCCTAAATTTACTGAGCATTGTAGCCCTTAGTTTGGCATCTTTCTGTAGAAAACCGCTACTAGTTTTTGCCAGGGGAAGCAGCAGCAGCTGCAGTGCCCCTGCCCTGGCTATATTTGTCCTCATGGCACAGATAGAGAGAATGATAGGAAAGGGTATCTATTCGGCAGCGGAGGTTTTAAGAGGACACCTACGATTGCCGGAGCATCTGTCATCGCTATACAGTGACAAGGTTATTTTCGGAGGCTGATCCAGGACAGGACAATAAAGTGGCTACCAAATGGATGTGTGGAGCTTGTGAAAAAATGGCCCACTCTAATGTAGTCCTCTGTTGCAGCAAGAGCTTTTCAGTTGTACACACATGAACATGGGTATTGCTGATTTTTATGTTAAAAGGCCTAACGAATCTGGTTTGTAATTCACTCACAAACTGGCATTCTAATTTATTAATCTTTGATTAATAATGTACCACCAACAAGCTCAAATTTCTATGTGTCCATTTATATTTTGTAAAGAACCTTATAAAATAAATGAGTCATCGTCTGTGACAGAGAGTGCCTAATATGCATTAATATTACTATGGATTAACATTACTTACAGCAAGTAATTAGTGCCGCCTTATTATCCAAGCAAATGTTTAATGTCACATTTCTTGGAAAAGTCAAGGCATGAAATATGAGTTATGTAAATATTAGCAGAAAAGTAAAATGCATGCATATGACTTATTGCATTTCTAGTATTAAAGATGTGTTAACTTTTAAAACAATATAAGAATCAGATGGATCATACAACAAATGTACATTTGGTGCAGTCTTTTTTCCCACCCACATTCAGTCGTCTCTTGGCTGGGTTCAGTCTGCAGTCTCCCCTTCATAGATATGTGTCACAGTTGCTGTGAGGGGCAAAAGCTCACAGCATAATAAAGGATTCCTCACACCCCAGTCACGGTTTTATCCTCCTGCTGCTGGTATCAGGAGTATCTGGGCAACCACCAGCAGACTCTGCAGCAGCTTCTGTCCTGAAGCTGTTACATTCAGTGACAGTCAGGAGAACCTGCCACTCAGCTGCACTTTACCAGCATCTTACAGAGTTGTTTGGCCCTCGTGGTTTTATATTATGTGGATTGAGGCAGGAAAATGTGTGTGTTTCAGGTCTTTTTATACAGTTTGCAACTGTAATCACTATCTTTAGATTATTTATTGCTCTGTTCTAAACCAGTGTGCTGTCATTTTGTTTCTCGCTTGTGTGAGGAAAAATTACAATAGTCTTAAAGGAGTAAGCTAACCTTTCTCATCTTCTCTCTCTTTTCCTCCCTTTTGTCCACAATATTTCTCCTTCAGAAGTCTCCAGCACAGACACAGTCTTCAGTTCACTGTCCACTCCCACAAAACGCTCCTTTGAGTCAGGTATGCCATAGCTCTACCACTACAATGCCATCATTGTGTTTTGCACTGTGTGCTTCTCATGGTGGCTTAAGGAGTTGGGCTGGAGGACCCAGTACCATCATCAGCACTGGATGTATCTACAATAGCCAGTTTAACTGTTCTATCAGAGGAAACAGCAGAGGGAAGGATATGGTGGACAGAAGAGAGCATGTCTGCAAGACATGAATGTATTATTAGAGCTGGATCCTGCGCCGCCACTCAGCTGTTCAGCCAGTTTTGTCCAGCAGAGGCTTGTGGTACAGCAACAAAAAAATCCACATGGGGCACAAAAAAGCATTTTCTTCATAGACCATGATGATAAAAGAGACATCTGTAAAACTGTTGACAGGACACCTAGAACTACAAACAAGGTCAATTATCATGCTTTGTATTATGACTTTTAAACCCATGGACTGCTTTTTGTAAAACTTTTCCAAAGCTTTAAAAAATGTAGTTTTATATTTGTGACATCATCCTAATGATAAAATTTATTTTGGTCTAAGCGCCAGGCGAGCAACTTTAAATCAAGTGACTGGGTGCTGCATTTGAGTCTGAGATCCAGCTCTAATAATAGATTCATTCTGCAAGAGGGTGCAAATGTAAATACAGTGCAGTGGGTACTAGAGTGAAGGCTTGCTACAAATATATATGCAAATGCTTTAATTGACCCAAACATATTAAAAAGATTTGTGTTGTAGTTGTAATGTCACACTGAAGGGGACACTGTAGCTCAGCGGTTAGCAGTGTGACATCACATTTATACTAGTGGATAATTCAGTTTTATTTCATCCTGGCATAAATATGGGCCATGAGTTGTGCTAGCTATACATGTTCCATCTTCATTGTAGAGATTCAGGCAAATAAGGATTCACGCTAAACTGTGTTTTGGGGCAAGCAATATACAACCTCGTACAGATTTTCATATAGACCTGAGTTTTACCTGAATCATTTCAAACACTTGTCTCCAAGTCTGACCAAAAGCAGACAACTGTAAACCACCTGGAGCAGCCATTATACTAACATGGAGGGATCTAATGCCTCACGCAGCATCAAGAACAAGCGTGTGTACCCACAGCTGATTACTTTTTACAGTGTCTGTAAATTGGGCCCTCTGTATTTCACTTTCAAGCCTTTCAAGCCACTTTGGCTTGCCACCTATTACACTGAGCTATACTCTGTCAGTTTTTAATACAAATGTTGTGGTGTCAGATGTCTTTCTTTTTTGAAAAAAAAAAAAACGAAGGTTGTTGACTTGCAGTTAAATTTGATGTCGTCGTCGGGGTAAATTCAGGTTAACACAAGGCGGTAAAGGAAGAAGCCTTTTTTCCCCCACAGCATGCATATGTACAGACACACACAGTGATTGATTTGGCACACAGGGGGGCATCTGGCTGCTTAGCTTGGCCTAGTTCTCAGATTTATTGAGTGCTGATCTGCATTCGGCCGGGCCACTGAAAAAATCTGCAGGATTGATGAAAAAGCTGAGCTGAAATTCCAGCCAAACTGTGGAAACTGGCTACATGTGCTTCCTGTCTCAGTGCTGAGTTGAATGTAATCTAATGCAGGAGAACCATTAATGTCCAAAGCACATTTTCTTTACCACAAAGAGGTGTTTTTATTACAGTGTGCCATCATCTGTTCTCTTCCACTTGTGCACCTCACTAAATCAGAGGTGATGTCTTGATATGTTAAATGAAAGTTGTTATGGAGGCTATTACCTAGCGAGGTCAGAAGTGTTCTCTTGCAATTCTAGTTAAACCTGCAGCCCTGGACACACAGGAGATGAATGCTTGTTGTATTGTATGGGGTAATAAAAGGTGCTCAAGGTTTTGACTGCAAGTATATTTTAGATTAATTAATTTCTAACCTTCACATGTATCATTTGAAAACTGAGTTTATCATTTTCTGCAAGCCAGTAAGACGTTGCTCACTGCATTAACAACCCGTTTTCTTATTGTGGTGAGAAATCCAAAATATGTGGAACTATATGACAGTTTAAAATCCAGAGGTAAAACGTTTCTGCTGTTGCAGGAGCACAGTGATTGTGTCCAACAGCCTTTTTTGACTTTATTTTTGTTTGCATGTGTCTTCCAGCCTTTGAGTCAGAAAGTGATGTTACACCCAAGAAGCGAGCGAGAGTGGGTGATTTGCCAGAGGTTGAGGAGTCTTCATCATCTTCGTCATCTTTGTCTGCATCATCATCCTCGTCTCGCAGCGGCTGTAAACAGCGGAGCCGCAAACGTTGCCATCGCTGCCAAACCAAACTGGAGCTGGTACAGCAAGAGCTGGGCTCCTGTCGCTGCGGTATGATAGCACAACTCAACAGGCCGAACTATACATTACAACTCATAGTATGACCTGTGAACATGCCCGGGCCCCACTCACACAACAGAGCAGACACATCAAGAAGTGAATGTGCGTGAGGTAAATCACGACCTTTGCAGTTGTCAGTTCTGGCCTCGTAAACATGTTGGTTAACTTGGTCATAGTTTTGTGGCCATGCATCGAGATGCATCTTCTACTCCTTGTGTTTGTGTGTTGGCAGAAATGTCAATGACCAGAGTACTTTTGCTAGCTTTAGGGGACCATTACAGAAGCCTGAGTGTTTCACATTGCACATAAAACATAAACCAATTACCATGAACACTGATGCAGTTTAAACCAATACTTGGCTTGCTAATCAACTTGTTTGTATACAAATTAAAGTACTTAAAAAGTCACAGCTCTTCCATGCTTAAAGACCATCTGCTTAAACCCACGCAATAATTTCTAAATTGGAAATTGATTTGGTGTTTTTTTTCTCTCCACCAGGCACTGCTTAATGCATAGGCCATCCATCCTTAATAGTGCAATGCTTACAATGAAAACATGCTTTTTACAGACTGAAGGGGAAATGGTGGCAATTATTGTGATTTCTGACTATTGCGGTAATTGCAGATTACTTTGCTAATGGTTCTGCAGAATGTTCCACAGTGTAAGCCAAGAAGGTCTGATAATGAGGCGAAAGCACAAATGCTTTTCAGATATAAATGGGGAAGGAAAGATAGCCCCAGCGGAGCATCTCATGCAATGTTGTCATGCTCAGTAGAGTTCTGCTGTTACACTGTGACTACAGTATTCATCTTATGAGGTGTTGGTGTGACACTTAGTAAATCACTGGAATTTATGAAGTTAATTCATGTGGAGAATAAAATCTGCCCGACACTTTTCATCTTCTTTCACTTTTCACGAAATTGTCATAAAATTTCTGATTTAAGACGCACCACCTTACCTTTTTTTAAACAGTAACCCTTTATATATACAGTATTTACCTCTATGGCTGTAATTTTGGTTTGTTCCAAATCAGAAGGATGAATGTGGCCAAAGTTGGACTACAAGCCCGAAATATAATTTACTTTCTCTTTTTTGTCTAATTTTGGTTCAAAACATTTGAACTTATCAATGATTTAGACATTAGAAGTGTAAAATGCAGTATCTTCGTATAAGCATTTTGCCATTTAACATGATGTATAACTGCAGAAGGTAAATTAGTAATGTTGATGTTTCTGCTTTGGCCCTGACCTAGTGGTTGGCCTAATGATTTAGTTCCAAGATGTGAAAATAGACCGTGCTATTCTGATCTTACTGGAAGTTGAGTAAATAATCAGTCACTCACGTGCTACTGTACTTTATAATCACATAACGGCTGCAGTCCATTTGCCCTTGTCAGCATGCTGTATGTTGTGTAGATGAAAACCACTTAAATCATTGGCCTGTTAATTACTGTCCTTACTACAGTAACTTGGTTGTGTTTGAAACACTTCTGTCCAGTACAGTAGTAGTATGTGTGTGTGTATTTTTTAGCTTGCCCTTATTCTTCTTAAGAGAAGTAAAAGACAGCTGATATATTGTGTATTATCAGTGGATGCAGCTGAATTTGGGGAAATCAATTTGATAATTCGTTTAGATTATTAGACAAATGAATGTTTCGAGGGAGTTGTTTGTGCAGCGCTTCGCAGCCCATCCCTTTAATACACTAAAATATTACACAGCCTTCCCCCTTCCACTCCATACATGTACACTGTAGTCACACAGGTTTCAGGTAGGGGGTTCACAGCACTCCACATGGACTCAGTTTCCCACAAGGACCATGCTTCTCACATTATTGACGGCTCCCATTTTCATTCTAAGGTGACTCAGTCTTGTTCATTTGCTTCATTTGTTCCTGTTACTGCAACCCTCACAGATTGATGCCCTTTTTATTTTTGATTGTCAACAACTCACTGGAGCCTCTCCATCACTTAAAATGAGCTGAGGAGTTAGGAAAGGTTAGCGTCCTGCCCCTCGTGTCTGCCCCTTAGCCATCTGCTGGATCTGCAGTTCACAAGCATGGTCATTTAAATATTTTGCTTCTGTGCTTGATGTTTTTAGTGTGTGATTAAAGCTCTTTTATATTTTTATAAATGGTCGTGATTGTTCTTGCTATAATAGTGTACTATCCGAGCCATCCTCCGCCAACAGAGAACTCCAGCTGCCTTCAATACCTTCTTTTCTATTGGTGTTATAAATCTGGTTGTAGTATAATTATAGCTCAATGTAAATGCTAATTGTTTTACTAGAATCTCCATTTATGTTGTTTTTAATTTAATTAAAATTCCAAAGTTTGTAGTTAATTAGTCTGATTCTATGAGAATGATTAGTATGAGGCTGATTTGAATACCCTGATTGCACACACAATTGCATAGCAACCAGCTGTCAAACACAGTTTTTAATTACCACTGGTTGAATGCAGGCAGTATTATTATGTGTATTAATGAATGAGTTTAATAGCGTGAGAGTTAACGAGCTTCTCGGAGTTTAAGGAGCATTGTTGAGAGTGCTACAGTATGGAGAGAGATGAGGGTTGTCTGCTGATGTGATTAGAATGAAAAGAAGTTATCAATGGGAATGCCTTCCCTGCTAACTAAACCCGTCACTGAGGCATGGCTGCAAAGCAGTAGTTGTTCTCTGCCCTTGGCCATTTCAAGACTTGTGTATTTAAAGAGATGTGTCAACCTATATTGGCATCTAAGCTATTACCGCACACAGTATTTGTTGTATGTATATTGTGAACATAATGCTCATTGTCCGTTGTCCCAAGGCTTTGTCTTCTTTCTTTTTCTTTTTCCACTTTTGCATAAATTGTGGCAGATTCATATTTGTACATTCACTGAACTTGTTAAATTAACCCTCCCCCTCTCTCTTGCACCCACACCCCCTCACCCACCCTTCAGGTTACGTGTTCTGTATGCTCCATCGGCTCCCAGAGCAGCATGAGTGTCTGTTTGACCACCTGGGCCGTGGCCGTCAGGAAGCTGTCCTAAAGATGGTCAAGCTTGACCGCAAGGTGGGCCGCTCTTGCCAACGCATCGGGGAGGAGTGCTCCTGATCACGCTCTGTGTTCAGGCGGTATCTTAGCACTAACAGGGATTTGATTTCCCCCCCAACCCCCCCATTTGTCATAGTTCTTCAGGAAATTGAAATATGGATACACCCCTCCACTTTTTTTCTTTTTAAACTATGCTCGCCCTTTTTAAATCCCATGGTTACTTGTATCCCAGTTTTTTCCCTGCTGCTAAGATGCCTATGGAAAATCTAAACCCATGAATGACAGAATAATAATGAGCAAAGAAAATATACTCTTTCACATTTTTGCTAGCTCCTGACTGCACCGGTGTGGGAGGAATAAGAATGATTAAAAGGATGAAGAGAGGAAATACAAATGTACATCCCAGAACCCTTTTTAGGACTCTATTCTTTACCTCAAAAAAATCAAAAAAAATCAAACAATGATGAGGAAGAGGCGGTTTGTGTATACTTTTCTTTTGCTTTGTTTTATAGACTGTGCTCTTTACCTCAAAAATCACACAGAGCTGCTCTCTACTCTGACAAATGCGCTGGGCATGGACTCTGTAAAGCAAATCGAGCTAGCCAGTCTCACTTTGAGTCAGTCTTACCCCCCTGTCTGCATCTTTTAATCCTTCACCTTTAGAAACACAAACACCTGTTAATCATCTGACTCGGGATATTGAAGCCCAATATTAACTGCTCCTCCCACCAACCTGCATCCTTGTCTTTTCCGCTGCAGGACACCTTTCACTCATTTGTTTAATAATGTTCTAAGAGGGTTTATACCATTGTGGAAGATGTGGATGATGAAACTGAGGTGATACAGCACATCCAGATTCAGAGCTTGCAGTGTGAGCCAGATTATTGATGGTGGGAACAGGCAGCTGCTCGTCTGCAGATTGCACGCAGACCTGTTCTCAATGTTGGGATGTGATTGACTTCATTTGTTGAGGATTTTCTCCGTCTTCCTCTTTTTATCTTATTCTTCACAACAATTCCGCATAAAGATATTTCCTTTTCGTGCCCTTAGTCTCTTTCAGCAACAGGTAGATTATGTATGTGGGAAAACAAGATTTACAGGACACAATGGACATTAGTGTATTTACAATTTATGACTGGACCTGGAATGTCTGCACTGTACGTGTCCTCACATTGCTTTACTTTTGCAAATAGACACAGTATCACACTTTTCTGTTGTTTCATGTGCTCAGTTTACCTTGTGCACAAACAGGCAAACTAAAGCTGCTGTACTTTCTGAGTTTGGATTGAAGCAGAGATGGCAGAGCAGCACTCAGAGGCTCCCGCTGTTCAGGTCTCTCATCATGTCTTAGGCCTTCATTTCAATTATCCACTTTGTTTAAGGTCATTTTTGCCTCTAGCTTTAAATGAAGACCTCATATTCTTTTGTTTTCATCCTTTTTTCCCTCATGTTTTGATTTCCTCCTAGAATGATGAGCTCACATGCATCCTTCTGCTCCTGCCTCTGACTTTCCATTTCTCATCTTTCCCCTTATTGATTGCTCTATGTGTCTTTATTTCACCGTCTCTGTCTCCCTTCCTCCCTCGGTCTTGTTTTTCCATAGGTGAGGGAAGAGGGCTGGAGCGAGCAGTGTGCTGAAAGTTAAAGTCAGCAAGTGATTACTTTCCAAACATTTATCTGGTGGACTATGAAAGGAATGAACAGCAAATGCATAATGAATGGATATTCCATATCTTTAAAGCAAACCTTAATTAACCCTATTTTGTGTTTCAGTTTTACATACACTTTAGTGTAGAGCTGTATTTTTCGGTTGTAATGTGGTTGTTAAATTGAACATTTTAGTTTCCCTGGCTTTACTTTTTGCTTCCCCTTTCCAGCTTTTTCTTTTACAGAGAAAGAATAAACTGGATTAGACAAAGTGTGGACATCTCTGGTCTACTTATTGACATGATTGTTGTGGAGAGTTCTACTCTGGTTTGTCTTTACAGTTCCACTTTGCAAGAGGAAATTTGGAAGTGGCTTGAATGTATGAATGCTTTGCATGTTATATACTTATGATTTCTTTGTGTGATGGTAGCTGAGATTTGAAGCCTTCTTGCAACATGTTGCTGGCTCCCTGCCATGTCTTAACATCCTGCCGAGTTTTTATAGCAACATAAACATCTGTTTACTGCTCACAGAGGACTGCTATAAAGCTGCTCCCATTTAGTTAACAAATCTGTTTGTGTGTCTGCTTACTAATGGAGAATTTTAGGCTTATGATGGCAGCAATGAGTCTCATTGGGCCGGTCATACTAATTAATGTTGTGGAAAAAGAAAATCCAGCCATAATCAAAAGGCATCTTCAGAGTTTGAAGGCTAATCTCTGACCCTCCTCTTCAACCAAACTGAGCCTGAACTACAGAAGTTAGTAAATGTAAATGAGTCCAAGTTGATTTTTTCTAAGGTTTTTTCAGTTTACTATGACCTGGAGAATCTGCACAGACATAAATGTAAATGAGTTGTTTTCTCCTCTGTCGAGGTGCTTGAACGTTTGAACAACCCAGCTGGGTTTCAGGCACCATTCAGATCTTTTTAAACTTGCTCTGTGTAAGTCTCATTTTACATTCTCTTGTTGATTTTTCTGTGACTTCTTCTCAGCTTCTGTTAGCACATTGAGTTCTTTGAAATGCAGGAGATCTCCAAACTGATAAATTGATATTTTCATGACATTTTTTCATTAAATAATAGACTTGAAATGCATAACTTCTGCATGATCCATTAGGGGCGCTCCATTTGTGCTTAAATATAGAAAAATATGCCTTATGTTGACTTGCAGTATATGATAACTACATGCTGAGCTCATGAGACTTTTGGACCTTGAAATTATGCTTTTTTTTGAGACTGACATCTATTTATTTCTAATGAGTGCACATTTTCCTCCTTTTCATTCATTTCAATTGGTTTCAGATACACTGTTTATATATATATATATATATACACAGTGGGTACAGAAAGTATTCAGACCCCCTTAAATTTTTCACTCTGTTATATTGCAGCCATATGCTAAAATCATTTAAGTTCATTTTTTTCCTCATTAATGTACCCACAGCACCCCATATTGACAGAAAAACACAGAATTTTTAACATTTTTGCAGATTTATTAAAAAAGAAAAACTGAAATATCACATGGTCATAAGTATTCAGACCCTTTGCTGTGACACTCATATATTTAACTTAGGTGCTGTCCATTTCTTCTGATCATCCCTGAGATGGTTCTACACCTTCATTTGAGTTCAGCTGTGTTTGATTATACTGATTGGACGTGATTAGGAAAGCCACACACCTGTCTATATAAGACCCTACAGCTCACAGTGCATGTCAGAGCAAATGAGAATCATGAGGTCAAAGGAACTGCCTGAACAGCTCAGAGACAGAATTGTGGCAAGACACAGATCTGGCCAAGGTTACAAAAAAATTTCTGCTGCACTTAAGGTTCCTAAGAGCACAGTCGCCTCCATAATCCTTAAATGGAAGACGTTTGGGACGACCAGAACCCTTCCTAGAGCTGGCCATCCAGCCAAACTGAGCTATCAGGGCAGAAGAACCTTGGTGAGAGAGGTACAGAAGAACCCAAAGATGACTGTGGCTGAGCTCCAGAGATACAGTCAGGAGATGAGAGAAAGTTGTAGAAAGTCAACCATCACTGCAGCCCCCC